TGGAATATGAACTGGACCTGGCTCGGCTTTGATTCCTTGTAGAGTACCATCTGCAGGACAGTTTTGCCATCACCATCCTTTGAACTACAGCTCGCGTCCAACACCGCTTGATTATTACAAACTCATAACTGCTAGATGCCAGATCGCTGTCAACAATATAAGGGGTATCTCATCCAGAACATCGCTCAACGCTTCAACACGCTGCAACTCAACCACCTCACCCCAACAAAGGCCTCTCCTCACCCGCCCGCTCATCATCCTCCTCCTCACCACCTCCCGCCCTCCCAGCAAACACACGCCTCACCACCCTCTCCCGAATCAACCACCCCAAGCAAACCCCCGCCCCCGGCCCAGCAACCACCGAAATCGCAACCATCCCCAGCGGCACCCTCCACCCGCTTTCCGCAAACACCCAGTACAGCACCGTCCACGCGACAAACTGCACGTCAATCTCGATGAAGCTCAGCGTCAGCCTCGTCATCTTCTTACGGTCATCGTGACGCTGCGCAACGCTCCATAGCAAAAACACGTGCGCCGCGATAGACACCGCAACGGGCAGCGCGTACACCAGCACGACGCACTGCCAGTGCGACTCGTGGTGGATGCTCACGGGGCTAACGCGCCGGATCCTCTCGACGATGCCTCGCACGACCTGCCGCACAATCGAAACGTACAGAGGGAAGAACAGCCAGACGCCAATGGTCGCAGGCGAGTTGAACGCCAGCATCAGCGCCGACGGCACAAAGTAGCCAACCGCGACGGCAATGGGGATGGCCACGGCCTCGGAATCCGGCAGCGTCCTCTCCTCGAGCCTCTTGTCCTCCGCCGTCCGACCTCCCTCTTCTTCGTCTCTATCGTCATGATCCTCCTCGGCCGCTGCGACCAGGGCCTTTGCCCGGTGCAAAAACGCCGGCACAATCACCAGCTGCCACACCACCGCTCCGCCCAGCAGGTTGAACAGCAGCCACCAGGCCGTCGGCCGCGCAATCAGCCCGCTCGCGCGGTTGCACCTGCGCGCCGCCTCGACGGTGCACACCGTCGCCAGCGCGCCGACGTACGCCAGCACCGCGCCCATGACGGCGCGCGACCGCAGCGAGTCGAGCGCGCTGTGGAAGAAGCTGACGAGGAAGCAGCTCGGGGTGCCCAGCAGGGGCACGCGGCTCAGGGCCGGGATCTCGGAGCGCGCGTGGCAGCGGGACCAGAGGAGGGCGATGTCGACGTCCGAGTGGAGGAAGAGCGCGGCGAAGGTGGTGATGGCGAGGAGCAGAGGGGGGAGGAGGAGGATGTTGAGGGGGAGGTGGAGGATGGGCGGGGAGAGCCATTTGGACGAGGTGAAGGACGGCATGATGCTTCTGTGACTCTGTATTTTGCAGGATATATAGTGCTTTTGATAGTATTAAATATGCAGTGGAATAAGAAGAGCCAGCATGGCTCGCTGTGATGCTATGAAAAAGACAGATAGATGGTGATGAGAAGAAGTTGACAATCATATGAGAGTGAGACGAGCTGCAAGTGAGACACCACCGCCGCACTAACCGTTCCCACTAACAGCAACAGGAAGCTGCCTGTCAGTTGGGGCTCCAATACCGGCACCTCCACGCTTTTGCTAGCTGCAGCAGCTGGGCCCGACCAAACAGGCGCCCTCAGCGTCGCATCGCAGGGCACCTGCAGCTCAGTTAGTGGCACAGCGAACCGTCATGGTGGATGGCACACCATTTTGAACGACTTGGGCACGTGGAGACCGAGTCCGATGACCTGCAATATTGACTTAATATTGACTTAAAATTGTAGGCCTGCGATGTGAATCAATGCTGAGATTTGGTGCGAGAAACGTCAGGATGGAGAGTATTCAGCGTCGTTTTAGGGTAGATAGTTAATCCTACCTGAAGATGGTTCTGCTTGTCAGTGACTGCTGCACACCTACAAATCTTCGTAAGAGGAAAGGAACTCAAAAGCCCCCAGGTTCATGGGAGTTTGAAACATACTCCTTGACAC